AAAAAAAAAAAAAAAAAAGTATCTAGAAGGCTACCTCAGAATGAGACTCTCTAACCTACATCAGAACCAGAGAAGAATGTGCACTATATGGGTCTGTTATTGTTTTGGTTTTTTTCTTTAGTTTGTATCTTTTGGAGATTTATCCAAGTGCCAGATTACTCAGTGCTATAATTTTGTTGTAGTGAAACAAAGGGGGTCAGACAAACATTGCATCATCCAGACATGCCATGTCGGACATGTAGAATCCGATGGAGTATTGCACACCAGAATGATTGGCCAATGAGCAGCTTCTCTCCCTGAAACAAAAACTGCCCATTTGGCAAGGGGAAAGATGACAATATTCATAAGAAGAAAGTGAATGGGATGCATACCATAGACGAACAAGGCGGAGACTATTCCAGGAATCTTACTGTTCAGGAGCTGTTCCTAGAACTAACTCCCTTCCTGTCATTGATGTGCATTCCACTCTGTGCTTTTCTGTACAACCATTCAAGTTTTGATTTCCCAGGTAAACATCTTGATCTGTCATTACCATAATACACCTTCACGTTTCCAATTATTTTCATCATCATAACCAGTACGGTGCTATTATTTACCTATGTACGTGTAGTTATGTATAATTTTGTAATTAGTTACAATGGTAAAAAAATCAAAATATATAAAAAGTGATTTGTACAGAACTTTATTTTAGCTCTTTTTTAAAAATGATTTGCATGGTTAGACAACGGCGAGGACAGCCAGGGGAGGGAAGGGCCTCTAGGGAACTTTGCACTTTCTATACCTTTGTACTATGCACTGCCCTATTGATTCTACACCCAATAATGTTATTACTTGAACCCATCTGTAAGAGATTGCTTCAGAAATTCATTTGTGTGTATGTAAATAACACAACATAGAGACAGGAAGAGAAAGAAGTCTGCAGTAATGCACACATTTTTTTTCTTTCCTGTTTATTTTTTGGTTTTGCTTTGTTTTAGTCCCTGCTTTTCTGTTTAACTCCCTTTCTGTTTTTCTTTTTCGGGTTTTAGTTTTCTTTGGGTTTATGAGTGCCCTGATACTCCAGCAGAGATCAGAAGGCTACAGATCCATCCTATCCATCCGTTACGTGGCTTTGCCATCCAAGCTTGGAGTGTCTTTACAAAGATAATAACAGTTGTGTTCTTTGCTCTCGTTTTGGATGCATAGACTGAAAAAATTTAAAAAAATAACTTGTAAAATGGCTTGTTAAAAAATACAATTACCTCTAATTAGTAGTACGCGTAAATGTTTTACAGAATGAAAGGCGTGCTTTTTATTTTCTTACTTCGTTACATTGGTGGCGAAAGAAGTCTGTATGAAAATCAGTTCTTTGCTGACACAAGTTCCATTTGTTACAAATGAATTCTAATAAAAATGTCAGTGTTATGCAGCCCTGGCCTTGGTTTTTGTCCAGTCAAGCACTTCGGTTTTGAATTGACTATATGTCCCAGCTTCCTCTTCTGGTTATCTAGTTAGCTCCTTTGTACCAAGAGTAACTCTATTTAGTTCCTTTGCACTAATAGCAGCTCTGTTTACTGAGAGTCTATGACTTACAAGGGTCTGCCTTGAAGCGAGCACTTTTCACTGCTGATCAGACCGAGAGAGAAATAGTTTGCCCAAATTTACATAGTAGAAAGAGGCATTCATATTAGAGATCTTAAGCAATCTTTAATTCTGTGCTTAACTACTGTACATGAATTTTACCGCGTTATTTACTTATGTCAAGTTTTATCATCTTCTTGAAACAACTGACAACTCTCATGCATATAAAACTAGATCCATGGTGTTAATTTCTTAAAACCTTTGGGAGCATGGCTGAGAAAATCTTTGGCTTGGATTATTTACTCATTCAGTATATTACTGAGCACCAACAATGGGGTAGAGCCATCGGAGGTGCTGAGGATACAGCTCTGAACAAATGAGATACTGCTGGTGTTTGCCTCAAGGCTACAGTCTAAGAGGATAAGTAGGCACTGAAGTAACAATAACATTACACTTGGATTGTGCTATGAAGAAAAGTAGGATCCATAGAATTAGGACTTCTATTTGTGAGTGTCAGAATATCTGATTCAAACTGGCCTACAGAAAATAAGTGTTATATATTGGCTAATATATCAGATTAGGCATGGACTCATACTAAAAGAATAGGAATATACAATCTTGAGACACAACTGGATTGAGGGCTCAGATGATGCCTGCAGAACTTAATATCCCCTCATCTTTCTGCCTGGTCTCTACTTTCATAGTTTCAGTTTTAAACTGTTCCTTTTTTGTCCCTGGAAGCTTCAGAATCATTAACAAACAGACCAGTAGCAGGGTTTACTTCCCAACAGCACAATCAAATGTCCAAGAATGGTTCTTGTTTGGCCCAAATTGACCTAACTTGGGATAAGTGATCATGTCAGGAACACGAGTATAGATAGGAAGAAAGAATGTCTACATTGAGTTTTCAACTCAACAAGGATTTGCATTTAAAGTGGCTATCACCTTGACGAATAGTAGTGACTATTATGGGGGATGCAAATCAACCTAATTAGTTAAAAGTAAGGCAAAGCACAGGTAGGTTTGGAAACATTACAACCACTTGAATATAACACAGAATACCATAAACCCAGTATCTAAAACATTATTTTAGAAATTTTGATACTGAATAGACAATTAGACTTTTCTTTCTTCCTCTTCACACAAATGATCCTTACTTTTAAGATCTGATCTCTTCGTTGTATAAAAACAGGACAAAAATTCATATTGCTTCAGATTTGACATTTTGTTCATTGTAATTCATTATTTTAAGTAGTTATCTGATAGAATACCCAGGATGACAAGATATGATGTAATTTATACATGTACACACATGCAGAAAATATTAGTCAATAATTAATTAGGGCTCTTTCACTTAATCATATTATTGTAATTAGTTACAAGCTGTTAAGACCCTTTACTCTTTGGAGCAGCTGGCAAGAACATAATCATAGGGTTATACTGAGAATAACTGATAAAAGTGGAAATGAAAAAAAATCAACTGTTCAGCTGTTTTTGTCATTATATAGAATCAAGTCCACTGTTATGCCATAGGGGACCTGGGGAATGACATGCAATTACATAGAATGCTTATGTGGTTACATCAACTCATTCATAACCTGATGAGGTATTCAGTGATGCTAAAATATGTTGCATAAGTTTCTATGGTGAAATTTTGGTATAACTAAAATTATTTTAGTGTTTATATCCTACTGGGTACTGGAAAAGAAAGGTAGATTGAACAAAGAAACTTTTAATCTGGGTCAAACCACTAAAGTCTTGAGTTTCAAATGCATGTAGGTTAAAAAAAGATTAGTGTGTTATATGGTTTTAGCTTCTGCTGCTAACCTACACAGCAAGTTGAAAACTGGACTATCAGCAAGTAACAGACAAGCAAGTGTGTGTGAATGTGTTAGATTTATATCACTTGGGAAAATGAAAAGTGCAAACTCTATTGACTATGGCATTATCATGTAGAAGGAGAAAAACAAAAATCCTGGAGTGGATACTGGAAAGATGATGGAGTAGAAAGCACTAGTAATTTGTCTCCCTGTCTATACAGAAATTGCACTGATAGAACCCATTGTAACTATTTTGGAACTCTGGAGTTCCAAATAATGGAACTTGCAGTAAGAATGCAGGCTTGCAACTTCCAGGAGAAGGTTTGGACAGTAAATTGTGATTAATTTCCCACACTTTCAGTTCTTTATGTAGTAGTAAACACCAATCCCTCACTTTCAGCCCCATAGCAGCTATGCACATGTTCCTGAAGCAATCTACACATAAGGTTCTAAGAGCCAGGTGAGCTGAAAAGGACCCTATTCTCCAAACCAGGTGTTACTGGAATTTTTTTATGCAGTAGGTCCTTGGTCTCAGAGATTAGAAGAATGAACCCACGACCACAGAGATCAGTAATAAGATAGGATTTAATATATAGAAAATATTAGGGAAACAAGGAGAAAGACACTGGGGTCTCTGGCGGAGTGTGTACGTGTGGGGGTGGGGGAGAGAAGCTTTATACTGTTTGGGGAATTATATTTGGACAGGACTTGGCAGACTTCAGTGGTGATCAGTGACTGAATGTGAGTATTAAGAAATGAATGCAGTTCCACCACCTAGGGCAGGGGGATTCAGAGAGTGCAGTTTGGAAAGAAAAAGTCTGTCTCCTTAGGCCTGGGAAACAGGGGTCTGTGTCTCCAGCATTGAATGGGGGAACTGTATCACAGGTATCTGTCTACAGATTACTAATTGTTTCATCTGATCACAGAAATGCAAATTAAGAAGCCCACAGTTGTTGTAGCTATACCTCTGCCTATTGATGCAAGCTGCTCCTTCATGAGCTGAATTGAATTCCAAGAAATTTAAAGGATCAATGCCCTTATTTCTTTTTTCTTTCCTTTTTTTTATTTTTGGGGATTCATTGAGGGTACACTGAACCAGGTTATATTGATTGCCTTTGCTAGTTAAGGACCCTCCTATAATTGTGTCCCTTATTTCTTTTTTATTTTTATTTTCTTCCTTTGGGAGCCAGACAATAAAGAAACTATTTAAAAAACAACTGCACATACAGAAAAATTAGAAAGTGATTGTGCATAACCAGAGAAAGGCATAGCATGGGATCAGAAAAAACCTAAAAAGACTTTAAGTTTATACCTTAAGTCAATCAATGGCATAGGGAGAGCTGCTACAACAATCAAGAGAACAAAACCATAAAAGAAAAACAACAAAAAATCAGCAAATCCTGGAGAAAAGGGATAATTTGATTTCTAGAGTTGTAACATTATTAGATTCAAATGTCCAGTTTTTTAAAAGCATGAAGTGTACAAATAAACAAGAAATTATGGCCCATTCAATTAAAAAAAAATGAATCAGCAAACAATGTCAAG